CATCAGGCCTGGCTCACAGCAACCCAAGTCCTCGGGCTACAGCATCCTCCTGCCTCAGCCTCCGGGTAAGCTGGGACTACAGCCATGCGCCAACCATGCCCGGGCTAATTTTTCTATTTAAGTTGGTCAATTAAATTTCTACTGGCTGGTATCCCGTATCATCTTTCAGATGCTGCGCTTAAGATAAGTCTTCCCCTGGATGTTTGGGGTTACAAGAGAAGGAATGTCAGAGAGAGAGGTTCCCCAAGGGCCTCCAAGTTGACTTAGAATAAACCATTAAGTGGATACCCGTTTAAGAGATAGCATTTAGGCCAGGCGCAGTGGCTCATGTCTGTAATCCCAGCACCCTGGGAGGCGAGGTGGGCGGATTGCTCAAGGTCAAGAGTTCGAAACCAGGCTGGGCAAGACCTGTCTCTACTGTAAATAGAAATAAATTAGTTGACCAACTAATATATATAGAAAAAATTAGCCAGGCATGGTGGCGCATGCCTGTAGTCCCAGGTACTCGGGAGGCTGAGGCAAGAGGATTGCTTGAGCCCAGGAGTTTGAGGTTGCTGTGAGCTAGGCTGACACCACGGCACTCTAGCCGGGGAAATAGAGTGGGACTCTGATTCAAATAAATAAATAAAGAGATAGCACATATTTCTCTTTCTTTTTTCTTGAGACAGAGTCTCGCTTTGTTGCCCAGGCTAGAGTGAGTACCATGGCATCAGCCTAGCTCACAGCAACCTCAAACTCCTGGACTCAAGCGATCCTCCTGCCTCAGCCTCCCGAGTAGCTGGGTCTACAGGCATGCGCCACCATCCCCGGCTAATTTTATATATATATATTAGTTGTCCAATTAATTTCTTTCCATTTATAGTAGAGACAGGGTCTCGCTCTTACTCAGGCTGGTTTCGAACTCCTGACCTTGAGCGATCCACCTGCCTCGGCCTCCCAGAGTGCTAGGATTACAGGCGTTAGGACCGCGCCCGGCCTATTCCTCTTTTTTAAGAGAGAATAAAGAAGAACGAAACCCCTTAAGCAATAAAATATCGAGCCCTACCGCCTGCCTGAGTCAAGGCAACACCAGGTCTCCCATGTCGGCTCACCAACAGCGCTCTCCAAGGCTCCTCACTAGAAATGAACGTTGCCGTCCTGCGTCCGAAGCCTAGTTTTACCTCATTCACCTGCCACGGAATCTCGTAAAATCTCAAAGATAACTTTAAGTCGTTTGAACGTAAACGTGACTCACAGTAACACCAACACACGCGCACCTCCATAGCTCACTGAGGGAGGCGAACGGGTCGAGCTCGGAGGCGGGCAATCACCGCGCCGGCCCTCCGTTTTCTTCTGGGAAATATCCGCCTTGGGAAGAGCTCGATCGAGGTCACCCACCCAGGCGGACAGAGAGCCCACCCAAGTCCCCGCCACCGTCTCGGCTGCGTCACCCCGCCAGACCTGTCCAGAAAGCCCTAACCACCGGGCAAGCCCTCAACTTCCCGCCCCAGCAGACACGGATCCAGGGCCAGAGCAAATGCCAGACCCGAGAGGGGAACCAGGTCGGCGACGACCCCGCGGGCAGGCTGGCGGCGCCCACAGCAGGCGGTGCGGGCGACCCGCGGGAGAACGCCCGGCAGCCCGCGGCTCCCGCCCCTGACCCTACAGACCCGGCCCGGCCCCGGCCCCGGCCCCTCACCGAGCAGCAGCAGGAGCAGCGGCCGCGGCGCCGCCGGGACCGCCACCTGGCGCGAGGCGGCCGAGGCCGGTGCGGGGGCGGGCGGCTTGGTCCGCGGATCTTTTTTTGCGGGCGGGCGGGCGGGTGCGGGGCTGCGGAGGCGCGGGCGCCGGGGCGAAGCGAAGGGCGGCGGCGTCCACCGACTCAGGAGGCCCGTCGGCTGCGGCCCGAACGAAAGAGACCCCTTGACCGGCAGCGCTTGTCACGTGAGCCGCGCCGCGCCCGGTCTTCACGTGACCCCTGAGGATCTCGCGAGAACACGCGCGCGGGGTCGGCCGCTTGCTCCCCAGGTGCGGCGTGTTCCCTGCGTCCTGCGCCCGCGGAGGCTGGTGATCCCGGAGCGACACGTGACACGCACGGCACGTGATTGCGCGTCCACGTGATCCCGCGGGGCCGCGGCCCGGGCAGGCGGAGGCGCAGAAAAGGGGGAAGTAGGTGGGGGTTGCAGGAAAAGGAAAGGGAAGAACCCGGGTTGGAGAAAGTGAGGGAGAAAGGGCGGCAGGCGGGGCGAGAAGGCTCGTGCTTCTTAGTGTGTGGGACGCAGGCGCCTCAGTTGCCACGCGGGGCGGCCAGTATTTCCCGACTGCTCTGTGCCCTTATGACGGGAAGGACGGGTTTGAAGTCGGATGAGTCTCTCTCCGCTGATCGATCGATGGTGGAGGGAAGATGGCGCCGAGCTGAAGGAGAAAGTGCGGTTAAGATTTTTAGTTCACAGGATTGTCTCAACTAAAGGACCTAAAATGGGAAAGGGAAGAAATTGTTTTCTCCCCTGTAGTAGGCTTAAGTGGTTACATAAGACTGGAGTTTTGATTTTTTTTTTTTTGAGACAGATTCTCACTCTGTTACCTGGGCTACAGTGTCATGGCGTCAGCCTAGCTCACGGCAACCTCAAACTCCTGGGCTCAGTGGATTCTTTTGCCTCAATCTCTCGAGTAGCTGGGACTACAGGCATGTGACACCATGCCCGACTAATTTTTTTCTATATATAGTTTTCGTTGGCCAATTGATTTCTTTCTATTTATAGTAGAGATGGGGTCTTGCTCTTGCTCAGGCTGGTTTCAAACTCCTGACCTTGAGCAGTCCTCCTGCCTTGGCCTCCCAGAGTGCTAGGATTACAGGCGTGGGCCACCCTGCCGGCCCTGTCAGGGTTTTTCTAGTTCACTGTTTCTCAGGAAGGCTGAAAGTGGGGATTAGAAAGTAGGGGAGGTGTTTGAACAAGCATGGTGAGTGCTGCAGTTTCATGATGCAAGACAAATTTTAGAATTACACAGTATAGGATTTCATGCTAGACAGAAGTCTTAGTTGAAGGTTCAGAGATCACAGTTGTGAACTAAAATAAAATTTTAAGCTTCACCACCCCTCAACACCGCCTAACCGAATGGATCCCCTCATGGTGGAAGGAATATCCTAATACTAAATTGTCTGCCAGGAGGAGCACTCCTCATCATGTCCCCTTCCTTCTTGGATATAACCTTTGTAACCCATTAACAGGCCTAAGGATAGGCAAGACAAACCTGCAGGTCCTCAATTTACTCAGCGAATGTATGTCCTGTGGCTGATGTGATAAATAACTCCTTATATTAAAACATCCCAAGCCTTTAGATAAAGCTTCATGTCTTTAACCAATTACAAGCCAAAGAATCTTTAAACCCACCTATAACCTGTAAGTCCCGGCTTTGAGATGTCCCACTTTTTGGATCCAAACCAATGTATGCCTCCCACGTATTGATTTATGACTTTACCTGTCTCCCTGAAATGTATAAAACTGTAACCCAGCCACATCAAGTCCACTTTCTCAAGCCTATCCGGGTCATGGTCCTCGAATTTTGCTCAGAGCTCTTTAAAATTATTTTACAGAGTTTGGCTTTTTCTCCGTTGACACAGTAATTGCCATGCTGTCCCAAAGTGCCTATCAGAATGGAGGTGGATGTGAGGGCGACCTGGCTGTGACATCTGTCACTCCATTGATGGCCAGCGTTGATTCGGGTGATCTGGCTGGCCAGGCGGGTTTCCCCTTCCTCACTGCCCCATATGTGTCCCTGCCGAAACTGCCAGCTTGGTCAAAGAGGACTACCTTCCTGGTTAGAGGAGGACCGTTCTTTGATCAACAGTATACGAGTAGCTGCACTCCCCTGCTAGAATCTCCAAACGAGCTCTCAGAATGGAGGGCGTTTATCAGAAAAGTTCAGGGATGCTCATCTAGTCCAATCCATACACGTTTCACAGGAAAAGAAAGCGAAGTCTTACTGTTTCTAGGACCTAACCTTCCTCCAGGCTCATTCCCTCCAGCTTGCTGGGTGAGAACCACAGCCCTCCCGGCATTCTTCCCTTTTCTCCTACCACTGCCCTGTGCTCTGGCTGAGCTTACCTATTTACCTTACCCACCTCCACCTTTTCGCAGGTACAGTGATTCACAAGAATAAATGCCAGACCCCCTTCCCCTTTCTGATCTTGTGCTGCTACTTCAATCCCACCTTCTCAGGACGTGGGTCCTGAGCCATTGTGGTTCAGGTATGTTGTCAACTACCTGTCACTTTACCAAATAGACCTTGATTCCTGTGACTTTTTTTCTTGTTACTTGTTGCTTTTTGGAGATTTTTACTTCTTCCTTCCATTTCTTCTAGTCCAGCTTCCCCTTTCCTTCCCCTGTAGCTTCTAATGTGTCAGAATCCTGGGTTTCAGCATCACAGATGGTCGGGTGGAGACTGCCCTCGGTTCTTGGTGTGCTCTTGGCTGAAGAATGACCAGACACACCAAAGTGTCAAGTCCAGACTATTATCCTGGTCCTCTGACCCCTTTCCCAGGAAAATCACCAGCAGGACGTATACAACAGAGTAACTTCAGGGAGCAGTTTCACAAGAGCGGCTCTTTACTGTAGAATAAAACGGGTCTGCCTCTAAAAGTGGAAAGAAACAAACCACTCACTCTTATTACTCCTGACTTCTCGGATTGTTTCCTTTTATTAGCCAAGTCTGAAGGAGGGCTTTTGGGAGGTATAGGTTGTTATCAAATGATCAACAGATGTCCTCAAAATGCCATCTGCATATAGGAACTCCCACTAAGAAACCCCCCCTGGAGGGGGTGAAGCACAATGCAGATTCAATCTAATGGCATATTAATTACCTATAGGTTACTCTAGGTCACTTTCTAAATCTTAATAAGCCTGGGCTGGGGAATGCCCAGATTGATGAAGCAAGCCCTCCTTCCCCAGGTGCAGCAGCTGCTCAGGACAGGATTAAGGGTGGGGCAGCACCAAAATGGAGTGCCCACCTATCCTCCTTCCTTGGTGGAGCCATTGCTCAAAACAGCACCAAAGCAAGGAACCCTTGTCCCAAAAAGAGCCAGAGATACTATCTACCTAACAAATGTATGATGGGCTTGAAAAAGTCATGACACAAAAAAGGACTGGTGCAGTGGCTCACGCCTGTAATCCTAGCACTGTGGGATGCTGAGGCAACAGGATCACTTGAGTTTAAGAGTTGGAAACCAGCCTGAGCAAGAGCAAGACCCTGTCTCTACTAAAAATAGAAAAAATTAGCCGGCCATGGTGGTGCATGCCTGTGCTCCCAGCTACTCCAGAGGCTGAGGCAGGAGGATCACGTGAGCCTAGGAATTTGAGGTTGCTGTGAGCTAGGCTGACACCTTGGTACTCTAACCTGGGCAATAGAGTGAGACTTTGTCTCAAAAAAAAAAAAAAAAAAGCCAGGCGCGGTGGGTCACGTCTGTAATCCTAGCACTCTGAGAGGCCGAGGCGGGCAGATCACTGAAGGCCAGGAGTTCGAAGTCAGCCTGAGCAAGAGCGAAACCCCCATCTCTACTAAAAATTAGAAAGAAATTATCTGGAAAACTTATATATATATAACTTAATATAAAACTTATATATATGTTTATATAAACTTATATATATAAGTTTTAGCCGGGCATGGTGGCACATGCCTGTAGTCCCAGCTACTTGGGAGGCTGAGGCAGAAGGATTGCTTGAGCCCAGGAGTTTGAGGTTGCTGTGAGCTAGGCTGATGCCACGGCACTCTAGTCCAGGCAACAAAGTGAGAGTCTGTCTCAAAAAAAAAAGAAAAGAAAAAGAAAAACCAGGCATGTTTTTAAACTCTTAAGTACTTAAAATCATACTAGTCTTTTTAGAAGGTTCTGAAATAGGAACAGTCTCACGAAAAAAAGAAGCAAAACTTTTACCTTCTTCGAAAGCAGCTTTAAAAAAATAGTTTGATGTCATCTGCAGCAGGAGAAATTGAGTAATTTCAATTCTGCTCATGTTTCTATCACATCCCCACCCGGCGGACGCTGTTCCCCGCACATCCTGGGATCCGGGGTGCTGCTCACCAGGGCCTGTTCTTATCTAAGAATGACACCCTGATGGAAAACACAGAATGGGAACTGAAATCCACTCGAAGCCACCTCTTCATGTGTGGCTTGTGGTTATGGGGCGATTTACCAAAAGTCCTGTTCCTCCAAGCAATCCTTAAACATGGGCAGGAGAGGACGGAAATGTAAGGTGTGGGAGCTGCAGACAGGTGCTGAAATTGGGGAACACACGGTCTCCACTGAGTGTTTGTTACGAAGGCTCCATGCTGGGATTAATCACCAGGCAACCTGGCCATCAGCCATCGTGTATCATAACTGAAGAAAACTTTAGGACTGAGACAGAAACATTAAGAAAGACACAGTGGGCCGGGCGCGGTGGCTCACCCCTGTCATCCCAGCACTCTGGGAGGCCGAGGCGGGCGGACTGCTCGAGGTCAGGAGTTCGAAACCAGCCTGAGCAAGAGCGAGACCCCGTCTCTGCTATCACTAGAAAGAAATTAATTGGCCAACTAATATATAGAGAAAAAAATTAGCCGGGCATGGTGGTGCATGCCTGTAGTCCCAGCTACTCGGGAGGCTGAGGCAGGAGGATTGCTTGAGCCCAGGAGTTTGAGGTTGCCGTGAGCTAGGCTGATGCCACGGCACTCACTCTAGCCTGGGCAAGAAAGCGAGACTCTGTCTCAA